ATTTAACATCATTTATTTAATTGGTGATGTGATACACGGGCACATTGAGATAATAATCAACTGTTGCTCGACTCGTAATAGAGCGCAAATCAAATAGCGCGATGTCAAGTGTACATGTAAATTCATTAATTTTTCATATATTCTGGTTATATTTTTGCATAAGAAAGAATTTCTGTAAAAAAAAAATAAAGAACAAAAAAACTAGAAAAAGAACGATTTTCAGCATTTAAATTATCTACCCAACTTCAACTATTCGATAAAAATGAAAACTGCTATATTCGCGGCAATTTAGACATTTATTCTAAATGTATCTTTTCTTTTTTCAACTTTGAGTAATCGAAATCCGAATCTGATCTCGTAGTGTCCTCGAATACATCATGTCGATTGAGAAATGAAAGTAAATTTCACCTGTAATTCCTTACATAATCGTTTCAGTGCCACTGCGAGATCGTTACTCATCATAAATACGCCGGTGTCGTGGATTCTTAGATAGAGGGAAGTTGTCTAATCGTACCCCTTAACATTTAAACAAAATTGTAACAAAAGTACTGAGAGAGAGAGAGAGGAGATCAGAATATTTCTGTACTTATATCAAACTTTGGTTTACAAGCCATAAAACAAAACAAGATTTTTACGGAAATAAACATTAAATTATTGTTTAAATTAAGATTTAAAAAAAAGTAGTTTTTATTATAGTATGATTTGAAGACCGTTAAATTATATATACCATCCTAAATCGTACTTCTATAAACAATCATTAGTTTTTACAAAAAAAGATCTAAATTTTTTAAAAAATCTCAAAAATAATATCTATAAATAATTTTTATTAAGTTATCTTAAAAAGATTCAATACAAACATACTTTTTCTTATACAAGTATCAAAATATAGTAATTACAAAAGTATTTTTCAATTACTCAATTTCAACATGTTATTTTATCTTAAATGTAGGTACAATATAAAAACAAGATACAGTAACAAGTATATATTTATCCAATTTTCTGTTTTTACTTCGTTTAGAAACAATCGTACAGCTCAACTCGAACAATACCACGACAATAAAAACCAGAACTCTAAAAATACAGCAAATTGAGCAAAAAGTGGGTATAAGACAAGAGGATAGCCTCAGCCCGCTTCTGTTTAATCTTCTCTGTTAAATATTCTTTGTTTGAAATATTCTCTGTTAACATCGATGACCTTACGCAATTGTCTGTCGGACAATTGTCGGATTCTACCATGATAAAAACTTGGTGGCTTTGAAGCTATGAAGTCATCGACGAAGTTTCGAATGTCTTCAATTGATTCGAAATGTGTATCCGATAAGGAGTGTTACATCGATCGAAATAAGTGGTAATCTGAAGGCGCTATGTCTGGCGAATACGCCACATAAGGGAGAATTTCCCAGCCCAAGCTAAAGATAATTTCCAGCGTGGTTTCTGCTATGTACGGTTTAGCATTGTCATAGAATAAAATGACACATTTCGAATCAATTGAAGACATTCGAAACTTCGTTGGTGACTTCATCGCTTGAAAGCTACCAAGCTTTTATCGTGGTGGAATCCGACAATTGCATAAGGTCCGACAGATAGCATAAGGTCATCGATGTTAACGGAAAATATTTCCATGATTAATCAAAGTATTCATGTAAGTGAAAAATAAAGTCAAAGTTTGCGAAAAAACGGCACGAATTAATTTATACACGTAATGTAACTTTCACAAACTATTAGCATCTTAATATTTTCATCAACGAGAAATCGATTGCAAATTTATTCGAGAATATCTCATTAAAATTAAAATCGTGAATTGTAGGACAAGATGCCTAGTGAAAAACGTGCGCCTTTCTTTCGTTCTTCTCTCTTCCCTGCCACGCTCTTTCTCTCTCTCTCTCTCTCTTCATGTAATCGAAATGTACAACATGTTTCGATAAAGAGAAATTAGATCTGAGTTTGCACTATGCATGCGAAATGAAAATTTTCACTTCTCATTGACGCTGTTTTTATTTTTGCACACCTAATTTGCGCGGATATATTTGTAAAATTTTGTCACAAACAAAAAAATAACGATATAAAAGGTCTGTTCTTTTTAGCTGAACTTCTTGCACGGTTCATCTTTTCTCTTTTTCTTTTTAACGTGGAGAGAAAAGGAAGAAAGATGTACTGTGCAAGAATTTTAGTTAAAAAGAACAGACCTAGAATGTTTCGCGGATTATCTCCATATCCTATTGTTGGAACGTTTCGTCGAATGTTGCAGTTCACTTTATCAGGACGAGGAGCAGTCTGGCACTGCTTTTCACAAAAAAAAAAAAAAAAAAAAACAAAAACGATGATAATTACATCTGTTGGCTCGATGAAGCCGTTATGAGGCTTCATAGAAAAAAAAGTGGAACATAACCGCCGAAAAGCCATATTAGAATACGTGAATCAAATCGTTATGAATAGCGAGTTATTTTCATTACTTTTTAATTTGATCGATAAACCAATTACACTTTTTGGCAAATGCGAATTTCATTGCAGAATTACAGAACATATATATTGCACAATTACTGTTAATGAATTCAAGTTAATTTAAGATCTGGTTGTAGAATTCAACATATTTCTCCGGATACAACGTAGATAAATATAAAAATACAAGATATTATAAGATCATATATCACTCGTGTCGATATCGTAAGGCATCAACTTTTCGCAACTAGGATTCTGGAGTTCTTTATAATTTATCGCAAAATAAGTTATTGTGTTGAAAAGTGAAACGCGATCGATAAGATCACAGCTTCTTTCTCGCTGCGATTCTTGCAGCGAGCCGAGATTTAGCGAAAGAATCGAAGCGCAGCATATAATCTCGAGGTAATGTAACGAAACGTAGAGATGTATGGATTGGAGAAGTACTACCTGCTAAATGGCACGTAGACATCACACGTAGACATAGAGAAAGTGTGCGCAAGTAAACTCGTCTCCCCACCGTGTCATACATCAGCCACGAAAGCAAAGAGAAAGATGCCGACACCATTATCGCGCAGACAGGAAAGTTCGTGTACGATTTACGCGTTCGAAAAGAAAACGATGTACTCCATCAAATCATCCTCATTCGATAACATTCGTTGCAAAATCGCATACCGATAACGTTGGAACGTCCGCCTATTATTCGCGTTTTACTTTGCGCCTTTCAACGAAAATAAATCGTTATTTAACATACTAATTATTAAATAAAACAAATGATTAAATTTATTATTTAATGTACCTAATGTACTTGTTTATCATTGCTACAGGTAACCATAAAAAAAATACTTGTCTTATTTGAGCAATGCCATTACGCTCCATTATTACATTGTTTCATCTCGCATTTTATAGAATGATGTTGGATAATTTGAATTTCTCACAGGACTTTGTTTCTCTTTTCGTTTTCTCTTGCTGAGACATAAAAAGTTCGTTTTATTACATCAAAGGAGATAGGTAAATGGATCTATTATCGAATTTATTACATGAAAAGGTGAAGTACCTAAAAATTTAGCTACATACCAATCTGAAAATAATTTTGTTAGACCATCAAAATAATTATGTAGAAGCTTAAACTGATTGCTAAAATATTAAAACTTTTTACAGCATTTGTTCATCATGCTTGAAATTCCTACATAATTATTTTTATGATACAACAGAATTATTTTCAGTTTTATCTATAGCTAGATTTTTAGATACTTTAGCAAAATCGGTCTGTTTGTGTAGATCATATGTTCTTGGATTATAAAAATATATTCTCGATAGTTATATCCCTATTGAAATAAAAACAGATATGAACAACAAAATAGATATAGTTTAGAAATCTCATTTATATGAAATAAAACAAATATATAAAATCTTCGAAAGCAAAAATAATGTAATCCATTTAAAAAAATTAGAACGCACGACGGCCTCCACGCCTTACAGGATCATGTTTTCGTATACCTACATTGAAAGGTATACTAGGGACTGGTTTTCACTTCGAACATTCACCGCAGTGGTGCAGTTCAGTTCTTACCGGCACTAGTTTCATTCCGCTGCCATTTTCTCGATTTATTCTCGGACGCTTCTAACAAAGTTCTCACGCTTCTAACAAAGTTTAAAGTTATTATTCAAATTGGTGCGGTACTAAATGCACTGTAATGCAGAATATAACCGTGACGTAACTCGTTCGACTCGAGTATAACCGCAATCAGAAGATCATAGTCGATAAAAAAAATGTAATAAATAAAGAGAGATCAAAATCATTAAAACGTATGAAAAAACAACGCAGAGATGCACGTGAATGATGGATCAACAGGTACAGCATGGCATATTGCTGACGTGAGCAAGCTAGACGTTATCATGATCTTTGTGTCACGCAACATCCGCATTTGCAAGTATGTCATTGGCGTTGAAACGTCAGACGAAATTGTAACTCAATTCTTTCTGAATGAAGCATTATTTGGTCATTGGTCATGCTGTTAGAAAGAAATATGTAAGAAATAGGAATACTATATGGCATGAAATGTATATTGAAAAATTTAGGAGGTTTGTGGAGTCTGTGTGATAAGGTATGTTTATATTTAAAACATAAACAATTTTAATCCGTAAAGCGTGTGAAACAAACGTGTCTCTTATTTCCCTCTTATTTTTTGTCGTATAATATCATGCCATACAATGATTCGAATGATTGTCCTGAAAATCAATATTTGAGGTTACAGATCGTAGTTATAACTGCGAATTATAACTGATCTCACATATGTTATAAAACGTTAATCTTGTTACGTGTAAGAAATAATATTTCTGTATATTTTTATATCATTTTCTTACTATTTTCTACAAGAAATACATTATTAATATTAAATATTAAATCTCATAGGACCGTACATGTATACAGTATACATTATTACTTTCTATACGTTTTAAATAATTTACTCGCATGTGCATATAAAATATCGATAAACATTTTACTTATTTTATTAGTAAAATTAATTAACGATTTATTTTCACAGATGACTCATGTTTTCCATCGATGCTCGAAAGAATAATTTTCTCGAATGTCGCATATTAATTGGCGATGAATATAAACGGAAATGGCAGCTGTATTAACAAGCTTAATCGACACTACTTCCGTTCTTGGACTCAGTTTGATTCCATTTTTGGCCATCGGTCTCACCATTTATAGATACAATAACCTCGATCCAGAATCACATCCGCAAAATGTGCGAGAGGTATGAAAGGAAAAAGAAAATTACTTGTATAAATTATAGAATTCAAATAATCTCTTCCATACAGTCGATAAAGCAGTGCTTAAGATTCATTATCAATTACCGATTAAATAGGTACATCTAGGATCGTTAGATCAGTGAAATAAATAAGAAGTTAGTCGTCGCCTACTTTTATATTAGCTTACGAGTTGACAGTTTCGAGGCGCGAAATATTCTTCTGGTATTAAATACTTTAATTATATCACAGAATGATATAAATTAGTCTTCCCCTTTGCGCGCATATATGATAGTAAAATAAACAATTGTCTTTAAAAATTTTTACAATTTCAGAGAAATGCTATATGCAACATACTATTATTTCAGAAAATATTAAAAATGCTACTATTATTTATTGATGCACCTTCTTAATTATTTAGTTAACAATATTTAAAAATGTATCAACGTTTGTTATTGACCGCGTGTAATCTAATAATCAGGGTCAGAGGAACATTACTTTATAAAAATAACGCATTATCATTATCATTATTTGTTAGTAATTCTAATAAGTAAACGCGTTTTACTATTATTATTACTATTACACACTAAAAAATGATTAGTTGAATCAACTTGAATTGAAGTAAATCAACTCAATGTCAAAGTTAAATATGGCGAACTAACTGTCGAGTTGCGTCAAGAAACACTTTAATATCTTCCTTGTGTTAAATGAACATTGAATTTAGTTCTATCAAATATTTATAAAGTTAACTAAATTATTATTATTATTATTGTTGGTAGCACACGAACGTAATTGTATCATCAATAATAATTTTATAAGCACGATGAAATAAATCTGCAGTACAATAGATTCATTTTAATATTTGACTAAACTATACTACAAAGTAACAGGAACTCAATAAATTGTTGATGGTAACAATTTTGAGGTAGACTTGACTTTATTTTCGAGTAAAATAAATTTAATAATTTAGCTAATAGGACAATTTATTAAATTTATTTGATCCCGTTACTTCGTAAAATAATTTAATCAATCATTAAAATTTTATATTATATATAATAGATTGATTGATTAGTAGTTGTCCTGAAAAAAATGATCGTTGCCATGATATGGCGAGAAGTGCACGAAAATAGTTTGACTATCCCCGCTTTATACAGATGAATGTCGAATCTCTTACGAGTATACGCGCCATCTGTTGATAGCTCCACAAAACGCTTCCTCGCTCTAAATCAAAGTAAAGTACCATCAAATTTATTGAGTTCCTGTTACATTTACGTTACAATTACGTTCAATAATGGGTTTAGTCAACTTTGTAAATATGCTTACTACTATATCACTCCATCATTGAATTATTTAAATAATCAGTTCGGTGTACTTTTATGTTTGATCTTCCATGTAGAATTATTAGTATAAGCAGTTCAAATCACTCTTCTGGTAGTTGAACGAATGTCCAATATTAATACACTCTCGAATACACTTAACTACATTGTTATGTTTCGTTTTCAAATTCTTCCGTCTACATATACTTGGTGCTATGCTTGAATTACATAACAAATCACTATGCGATTTCAGCTGCTACGAATGTACGACTTCATAGTGATTGGAGGTGGCAGCGCGGGTGCCGTGGTGGCCTCGAGATTATCGGAAGTACCCAATTGGACGGTGCTACTTTTGGAAGCTGGCGGTGATGAGAACGAAATTTCGGATGTTCCCCTACTTGCCAGCTACAATCAGCTGACAGAATTCGATTGGAAGTATCAGACTTCACCACCCAGTACATCCGCCTATTGTCTCGCCATGATAGGCGATAAATGTAAATGGCCTCGCGGCAAAGTTCTGGGAGGAAGTAGTGTTCTCAACGCCATGATTTATGTACGTGGTAATAGGCAAGTATATTTATTTCACTTTTTTATTGACTGGCTAAGACTGTCACATTAACAAGTTGAAGATGATCAAACGATAAATGAGAGATTGCTTGTAGGCACGATTACGATAATTGGGCTCTATTAGGTAATACGGGATGGAGCTATGAGGAAGTACTCCCTTATTTCCTCAAGTCTGAGGACAATCGTAATCCGTATTTAGCAAGAACACCTTACCACAAGACAGGAGGTTACCTGACAGTACAAGAGCCATCTTGGAGAACTCCTCTGGCGATTGCTTTTTTGCAGGCTGGTCAAGAAATGGGCTATGAAAATCGCGACATAAACGGATTCAATCAAAGTGGCTTTATGTTGACGCAAGCAACGATTCGACGTGGCAGTCGATGCTCGACAGCGAAGGCCTTCCTACGACCGATAAAGAATAGACCAAACCTGCACATAGCAATGCACGCTCAGGTTCTAAGGGTGCTTTTCAACGCCGAAAAAAGAGCAACGGGTGTAGAATTTCTTCGCGACGACAAACAACGAATTGTGAGATGCAGAAGAGAGGTTGTCTTGTCTGCCGGTGCGATTAATTCACCTCAATTACTCATGTTGTCCGGAATCGGTCCCAGCGAGCACTTGACCGAGTTTGGTATACCTGTAATATCCGACTTACGAGTCGGGGATAATCTTCAGGATCACGTGGGTCTTGGTGGATTGACTTTCTTGGTGAACGAGTCGATTACTTTAATAAGAGAACGATTTCAAATCTTCTCGGTGATGTTTGAATACATTGTAAAGGAACAAGGACCCCTGACTACTCCAGGAGTCGAGGCATTAGCCTTTCTTAATACTAAATACGCTGACGAGTCCGGCGATTATCCGGATATACAGTTTCACTTTGCGCCAAGTTCCATCAACTCCGACGGCGAACAAATAAAAAAGATTCTCGGTCTGAGAGATCGTGTGTACAACGTTATGTACAAGCCCTTGCACAATGTCGAGACTTGGTCAATTCTACCGCTTCTACTGCGACCAAAGAGCACGGGTTGGATCAGGTTGAAGAGCAAAAACCCCTTGGTTCAACCAGACATTAATCCCAACTACTTTACTCATAAGGAGGACATGGATGTTCTCGTGGAAGGGATCAGGCTGGCGATGCGGGTGTCCAACACTAGCGCGTTTCAGCGATTCGGCTCGAGACCTCACACGATTCGTATGCCGGGCTGTCACAAATATCCGTTCGATACATACGAATATTGGGAGTGCGCCATACGACACTTCACCTTCACAATTTACCATCCGACAAGTACCTGCAAGATGGGGCCGCGGAGCGATTCCACAGCTGTCGTGGATCCGCGATTAAAAGTTTACGGAGTCAAGGGACTCAGAATCGCTGATGCTTCCGTAATGCCAACCATTGTCAGCGGCAATCCGAACGGGCCGACTATCATGATTGGTGAGAAAGCCAGTGACATTATCAAGGAGGATTGGCGAGTGAAGGGAAAGGGAAGTACCAGACAGAGACGATGAAGGAAATTGGGATTTTGAAATTATACGTTGTATATCTCGTCGTATCCAGATATCGCTGCGCTTGGCTTAGCGCCGAGACTATCATGTCTCCAGATAACTAAAATGCCAATTATATCGTACAAAAATTACTACTAAGCTTTCTATCTTTTACTTTTTTCCTTTTTATAATCCATCTTACAATATCAGTTCTTTTAGATATCTTATTGTCATTTTTCGCGAGCATGATTCACGTACAATTTTCATCTTTTTTTATGGAAACTCGATGAAATCTCTGTTTATCAAGATTTGCATAATAATATTTTAAATAGAAGTCAATAATCGATATAAAGACACATTTATAATATAATGAAAAATTAATGTTTTTGAGATATTGTCGAATATGATGTCCAAGAGACTCTCTCATTACAAATTTAGGTATAAGTATTAATTAAAAAGCGACTCATGTGGAGAGAGAGAGAGAGAGAGAGAGAGAGAGAGAGAGAGAGAGAGTTTTGTGTATGTTGAAAGAATGTAATACGTATGTACTGAGGTATGTACATATACTAATATGTCAGAAACATTGAGTGTTTCAAAGTCAATAAACTAAAAATTTTAATGGCGATGCCATTCTATGTAAAATAATGTAAAAATATTAATTTATTCCATTAAACATCGATTATATTATCAATCAACATTTATTGTTGTACATCGTAATATGATATAATACAATAATATTCCTCCGTATATAATAATAAATAATCAAGATTTTGGTGTGAATCTCGATAAGAATCTCTTATACACATAAATTACATTAAATTCTATCTATTCAATCAGTAACAAGCACTTAATATAAGTGCATTTCCTCAATTATGAAAAGGACTATTCGATATTTCCGATATACAAGAACATGACGACTTTCGAATCGCAAGTGGGCGGATGTAATTTTATATAACATCTCGTGCCAAAAGTCGCGCGTGGCGAAGCGCATATTTGCGCACATTTTTACTCTCTATTTCCGCTTCCTTGTTTTATCTGTTAACGCATCTAACAGAACGAATTCAAGCAATTCAACGAAACTATACATGCCGTTGCGAATTAATTGATGTCATTTCCGCTTTTTCGACTATCCGTACATATTTAACATTTCATCTTTGCATCACTAGATGTATTGCTCTCTAGACATCTCCGTTACATCGTATCGCTACTCCAATGCATTATACATATGCGGATCTTTCCTTCTTTCAGTGTATTCGAATATATACGTAATATTATTCAGTGTATGTACGTAAAAAGAGATAGATTACCAAGAGAGTGAAAGTGAGATCGACTGTCGTCGTATTTACATCAGACTTTAGCCTGTTAACTTTATGCGCGAAAATAGCTTGCGTAAAGTAACAAAGGAAAGTGTAAACGAAGGAAAGAAGGTGTATTTCCGAGAAATATATTACATGAAGTTTGGAATGTATGATCTTTAATTAAATACTTGTAGTTTCGTATTGCTATAAAGATCCAAATTTTTGGAAATACTGTATATTGAATTAAACACGCAGCATTTTGAGTTAGTCTATTTGTTTAGCACGTGACTTTATCATGACTTATCTAGAGTTTGTTAAAGTCGCATACTGTTTTATCGCTAATTTTGTCGTATTCCATTTATTAATGTCTCAATTGACACAATTGCTTGCTCCTCTCATAGCGATACTTTATGCGACATGTACGGCTTTTGTTCTTTTTTCAAAAAACGTTTAAATCCATTTTTCTTCGTTGACGAAAAATGCGGAAAGGTGCAACTGGAAGAAACTGATTTACTGTCGCAATCAAATTATAATACACTCATGAAGAAACGCGTATTATTTCATTATATTACATTATTTAAAGAGAAATGAATTACTCTGGTATTCGAATCTGGTATTCGAATTAACAATGCAAACAACATAATGATATAAGCAATACTATATATTTTAAATTAATTCGTTGAAAATGGAAATTTTGCGTTGCAAAGTTTTCTATATGGCTTTACGTATAAATGACATAACACATATCGGAAGAATAAACGCTTCACGTGCTTTATCCCATATTACCACTTTATCCCGTATTATCATTGTTTGTTGATCGCGGAAGCAGACCCGGTCATCCTCCAATCTTCGTGAGACTGTATCATTTTTTTCGTGAGTGTACACTCGTGCGAATACCATACGGTTACCACACTGTTGCTGGTTAAGGTGGGTAGGTGAGTAGGTAGGTAGGTAGGTAGATAGGTAGGTGCGTGTATGTAACAACAGGAAGAGAATACTTTCACTGCCAGAGTCCGGCTGGGAGCTTTGGGAAGGACAAGAAGAAGACTAGGTACAAATGAGAACGACAAAGATAGTGAGAGTGAAATGGATGGAGGTATATCGGTGCAGTACCGTACCGTTCTTCCGACTATTATTACCGACTTCACAGCGGACACTCGACTGTCGTCGCGTCACCCGGTGAGCTTTCAGTATTTAGAGGGTTTTTCCGGTAATATTTTGGCAGTAACGGAACTCCTATTGCGGTTTTCGTGATAAAATCGATATGATCGAATCGATACATTAATAATTCTGCAATTTTCCTTGCGTGTGGAAACATACTTGGTGTAATTATGATAATTATGGAATAATTGTTCCAAGTAATAATTTATACCTATCGGGCAGTGACAAAGTGTTGGTGCAATCTTAATCGAAATACAGGGGAATACCGTCAAAAACACGACACGTCAAGGAAATAATAAGAGTACAAATTTCGAGGCTAAAGATAGTGTGCTATGTGTACGTAACGTAATGATCTTTACTTTCAAATCATTATTGTGCAAATAATGTCATAAAAAATTTGTTTAAATAAAATGTGCGATTATACATCATACAAGTATTAAAAATACACAATGTTATTTTTTTATGACGCACAATGCGTCCTTGATAAATTTCCGTAAACTACAAACAATATCCGAGGGGGTAATCACTTAATGTAATTGTGGGACAGAGTCCTCGAAATCATTATAAAATTCATATGAAATCTCTATGTATAATCCGATAATTACATATGCAATCACGAGAAATCATTGTATAATATTAAATAAAATCGTGTATTTTACCAAATTACTTCATATGTAGTAGAAAAAATTATTTATAATCAGATGAAGTCATATGAAATCATATAATCGATGGGACAATATTTCAGCTAGTGGTTACCCCCTCGACAATATCAGTGCAATAAAATCATTAACCGGTTTCAACCAGTTTCAGATAAAAAAAAATTCACAATGTTGCATATCTATAAATAGACGTTTCCATCATATCATAAATAAACATCGAGAAATCAATGCTAATTTATAATATGAAAGTATAATGTGCAACACAGAAATGTAAAAATAGTAGTGAATTTGTTTGGTTATGCATATTTACGTATTCTCAAAAAAAAATCTTGATATGTGATCAACAAAAATCTTTTTATTGTCCTGACTAAAATATGTATATATGTGTAACATAACGTATGATACTATTATACATCGCGTAGAGATTGTTTAAAGATCGAGTTTTACCGATTAACTACACTCAGAAAAAGTCTTGTTCATATGTAACCAACAAATACCTTTTTGTTGTTCTAACAAAATTATTCTAATCAAATTTTTAGTTAGGATAACAAAGTTTTTGTTAGAATATGTGACTAACAAAAATTTTTGTTGTCCGAATAAAAAATTTTGTTAGCATAACCAAGTTTTGGTCAAGACAATAAAAAGATTTTTGTTGATCACATATCAACAAGACTTTTTTTTGAGAGTACGTAAATATCAATGCATAACCAAACAGATCCACTATTTTTTTTTATGTTACAGTGTCATATGTTACACATTATACTTTCATATTATAAATTAGCATTGATTTCTCGATGTTTATGACATGATGGAAACGTCTATCTGTACACTGAAAAAAAAGATTGGCTGCTGCACCAAATTAGATGGTAAAATATGGCATAGCATTTTTAATTGGTTGCATTAGTCAATTTTTGGTTGTGTTAGCCTATCGAAATCCTGTACTGACATTGCGGATAGGCTAACACAACCAAAAATTGACTAATGCAACTAATTAAAAATGCTATGCCATATTTTATCATTTAATTTGCTGCAGCAGCCAATCTTTTTTTTCAGTGTAGATATGCAACATTGTGAATTTTTCTAAATCTGAATGTCTTTTTTTTTATCTGAATATCATCATAATATCGCGTCAATACCAATTATCTTAAATTATTTGAAACTGCTTTTTTGAAATAATAATACACAACTATCATAAATACATTAACATTAAAATATGAATTCTTCTGCAGCATTAGAAGCTCGCGATGTAACATTTTAACTCTTTAAATATATATATAAATTTCTTTTTGTTGTGAAAGATATAACATGAAAAAAACATAAAGCGATACAGTAGTAATAGTATGAAATATACAAAATATTTAATAAATTGCAGAGAATTGCAATTGTCATGATCACTAAATTTTTATTTAAAAAATAAGAAAAAATATGAGTAAAAAGCATAAGATAATTTTGTTTTATTACTTACATTTTTAAGAAAAATTCGTCCAAAAAGGAATGTATTTTAATCGTTTTATGTTTTATCGGTTTTTGTTGTAATTATTATTTTATGTTTTTTCATGTATCTTTCACAACAAAAAGAAATTTATGTAAAATTCATATGTAGAAAGTAATTATCCCGCAAACGCGCAAGAAATTATTAAACCATAATTAATCCACAATAAAATCATATAAAATGTTCGTTTTACGGTTTCACCAAAAGTATTTAGGACGAATTATCTACTGAAAACTATTACGTAATTCATAAATTTGTACTCCTCCATGTGAAGTCGCAATTGACGAATACCGAAAACTTTCACTGATTGATTAGTGACTTTTTTTTACGCTTTTCCGTTTCCATCTCTTGAAAACTATACTATTATATCTTTTTTGAGACGCGTGCATATTATATTTTTCTTTAAAATTAATTACTTTATGTGGTTTAACGTACCTCACTATAATTAATGCTCATCTTCTGATAAAATTTTATGTTAAGAATTTGAAATTTACTGTAAAAACAGAGAAAAAAAATTCCGTTATGTATATATCCTACATACATACATACCAGCATTAGTAACGTTATTATATTTGTATAAATGCATAATAGCACCATTACCTTTTAAATTATACCAAAGAACGAATATATACTATTTCAGATTATTTACAATATTATCGATTAGAACTTTAACAGTTCTACTATAACGACGTCCGAGGTCTAACGAGCGATTTCAGGAAAAGTAAAGGCAACTTCCGCGTCGCTTTCTGTGCGTTAATATAAAATATGCCGAGCGTGTTCTTCTCTTTCTCTTACAAAATTTTTTTTATTATCTTTAAAATAATTCGATAATGCTATAAAATCGCTTTAATGTATTCTGTACATTAGAAAACGACAATTTTTTAAAATTTACTGTACAATTAAGAGCATTGATCCCGTTTGGCAAATTTGCACTTCCAAATGTATTTATAACGCTTTACTGATTCTTTCTGTTCGTTCACAAAATAAAGTAAACGAGTTATATAATTAACTATATATATATTTCTTAAATATTACAGAACGTTGAACTGAATGCGCACACATCGAATAGTATTAATGTTTCCGTACTATCATATAATACTCCAAAAGTACTATCCCAATCATTCTCATCGTTCTACATCAAAGAGGAAGTCTTCCAAGGTCTTTAAGAGACTCAGAGAGAATACATGAAGCATAGAAATTTCTCACCGGAAGTTACGAAATTGGAATTATCCTATAGCGATTACAGGTACGTGATATGTATATACAATTTTCATGCAATATCTGTTTATAAATATTATAAATTAAAAATCTTTATCTCTCTTTCCTCTCCCTCCCTTCTTTATCCTTTTCTTCTTTTTCTTTTGTTAAAACTGGTCTTTTCTAGAATTTTCAAAATCTTGTATTTTTAAGTCTCTATATATTTGAAGAAATTTATACCAGAATAGTAATTTTAAATTCCTGCTTTCTGTTTCTTGCCAACTAATGTTAATAGATCATTTGCGATTTCAAATACATTCTTAAATACATACACTTCGTCTTTCGTAATTCGTAAGAATTCGTAAGAATTTTCTCGTACTGCTAAATTATATGAGTTATAGTACATCTGTTTTGACACTGACCTATTTAACAATCGGAGACGTTTTCGTATACATGAAGAGCTAGATGAGGACAACGAAAAAATGTGTGCGTGTGTGTGCGTGCGTGTGGGTGTGTGTGTGGGTGTGTGTGTGGGTGTGTGTGTGTGTGTGTGTGTGTGTGTGTGTGTGTGTGTGTGTGTGTGTGTGTGTGTGTGTGTGTGTGTGAGAGTGAGAGAGAGAGAGAAGACCGGAAAGAAGTAGCATAACGTAACTCCACGAGTTGTCTCGTAAAAAGAAACGAGTCAGAGGTTTACGCCGGTGAAACACTTTCTCCTTTCTCGTTATGAGATCACCATCTCGTTCTTCCGGCGGATCGGGACATAACCCGTAAGCATAACGAGGAACTTTGTGCGCCGTTTACTCATTCAATTTACACGTGGATTGAAGCTCGTGTTATGTAGCTATCGAAGTGGATCTTATTAAATTAAATGCTAGCCATGCTTTGATGGGGCTCAATGGTATTTAATTCATTGAGAAACATTGGCATTTCCTTGTTCCACATCGCGCGATAACCGTTCTTCCCCTTCCGTGATTAGAAACATATTACTATTTCCATTTTGTGTCGCCACGAGCGAAGTTAATTACATTCTTCAACGGATTTCAACATTTTTTGATACTAATAATAACAGTTGGTAATTCTGAATTTTTCCAAGCTCTGCGATTTAAAAAATAATTAAGAAATTTAAAATTAGCAAGTTTTTGTTCTCATCTGTACAATATACGTAAAATCTAGATCAAAATTTCGAGGAGAGTATTAATGTGTGTTGCCTAATACTACTTAATATTTGCTAGAGCCTAGTGCTAGCTTTCATTCAATTCTATTTAACATATCTTTTATCATAATTATCATCATCATCATCATCATTGTTGTTATTATTATTATTATTATTATTATTATTATTACAGAACAAAGTAGTATGGAAGCGATTCATCGAAATCAATGGAAGCGTCATAAAAGATATAAACATCGACGTGTCCTTCAATGTTCGCGAGACTGAAATCTATAAAGCCTCTATTACAACATTCCATTACGACAAGCAATGAAATTCAATGATACAGCGATATTAAACTAAAGATAAAAATTCGCAAAGCAGGGTTATATTTTCATCAAAATGGTTTTCAGTGCAATAGTAGTGACGTCAGCCTTGAAGAGCGCTATCGGTATAATGGGTACAGGTTTATGGCTCGTACCATTATTAATCGCGGGTCTTTCTTACTATCGTTACGATCAACTGGATCCTGAAAGTCGACTCATCGACAGGCACCCTCTCTACTCTGATTACGATTTTATTATCATTGGAGGCGGATCGGCTGGGGCGGTAATTGCCAGTCGACTATCGGAAATACCAAACTGGAATGTGCTATTGTTAGAGGCCGGCCCAGATGAAAACGAGATTACAGACGTGCCATCTCTGGCTGCATACTTGCAGTTGACCACGTTGGATTGGAAGTACAAGATTGAGGCTACAGGTAAAGCTTGCTTGGCTATGAAGGGCGGCCGTTGTAATTGGCCGAGAGGAAAAATTATTGGCGGAAGCAGTGTTCTTAACTACATGCTATATGTGCGTGGTAATAAACGAGACTATGATCATTGGGAGTCGCTCGGTAATTCCGGTTGGGGATACGACCAAGTTCTTTACTACTTCAAAAAATCGGAAGACAATCGGAATCCATACTTGCGGAGAAGTCCATATCACGCGACTGGTGGCTACCTAACGGTACAGGAATCGCCATGGAAGACTCCCTTAGTGGTCGCTTTTGTTCAAGCAGGCGTTGAATTGGGATATGAAAACAGAGACATAAATGGTGAAAAGCAGACAGGATTTATGATATCTCAAGGAACTATTCGAAGAGGAAGCAGATGTTCCACCGCGAAGGCTTTCTTGCGGCCTATACGATTACGTAAGAACATTCATACAGCTATGAACAGTCACGTGACGAGAATCGTGATCGATCCGTTAACTATGAAAGCGACTGGCGTCGAGTTTGTTAGGAATGGTCGCAGACAGATAGTGAGAGCACGCAAGGAGGTGATTTTGTCAGCAGGTGCCATTAACAGTCCTCAAATTTTGATGCTGTCAGGGATCGGACCGAAAGAACATCTACAACACGTTGGTATTCCTGTTATCAAAGATCTTCAAGTCGGCGAAAATCTTCAGGATCATGTAGGAATGGGCGGTTTGACATTTTTGATTGATAAACCAGTCGCTATAGTTCAAGATCGTTTTCAGGCGGTTCCGATGATGATGCACTACGTGGTCAACGGCCGAGGTCCCATGACGACCTTGGGTGGCGTTGAAGGTTACGCCTTCGTAAATACAAAGTATGCCAATCATTCTATCGATTATCCGGACGTGCAATTCCACGTGGCACCAGCCTCCATTAATTCCGACGCGGGCGTACAAGTTCGGAAAGTTTTAGGGTTAACGGACGAAGTATACAACACCATCTACAGACCAATTAGCAATCGAGACGCCTGGACCATCATGCCTCTTCTGTTAAGGCCCAAGTCTCGTGGCACTATACGTTTAAGAAGTTCCAATCCTTTTCACCATCCTATTATCAATGCGAATTACTTTTCCGATCCTATGGATATTGCCATCCTGGTGGAAGGTGCGAAGCTTGCGATCAAAGTCAGCGAGGCAAAAGTCTTTAAACAATTTGGCTCGAGACTTCATCGCATTAAGCTGCCGGGATGCAAACACCTCAAATTTGGCACTGATGCTTATTGGGAATGTCATATTCGACATATTTCTATGACGATATACCATCCTGTAGGGACCGCTAAAATGGGTCCGCCGACAGATCCTACAGCCGTAGTGGACCCTAGATTGCGGGTTTATGGTGTCGCGGGTCTTCGAGTTATCGATGCGTCTATCATGCCGACGATATGCAGCGGTAACACAAACGCTCCTGTCATTATGATCGGTGAGAAAGGTGCTGACCTCATTAAACAAGATTGGCTACCACCTTCGACAATTAATCATGAAATTAAACGCAAGCTCAAAAGGAGCTAAGAAAAAAGTGGATTCGATCCGAAATGTATTATAATGTATAAGGATTCTCTCTCAATTTGTTTGCAAGCGTATCGCATAGGAGCGATTATTCCTAAATGGGAAAGAAAGAAAGAAAGAAGACTGTCAAAGATGTTCAGAAATTTTAAACTGTAAGGGCTCGTACAAACGAGTGATTTTATAGTGCCACAATTGAAAGCGCCGATCCCGAGGAGGTAACCACTTAATGTAATCGTGGGACAGGGTCCTCGAAATCATTATAAAATTCATATGAAATCTCTATGTATAATTCAATAATTACATATGCAACCACGAGAAATCATATGAAATGTATAATATTAAATAAAATCGTATATTTTATCAAATTACTTCATATGTAGTGGAAAAAATTATTTGTAATCAGATGAAATCATATGAAATCATGTAATCTGTGGAACAATATTTCAGCTAGTGGTTACCCCCTCGGCCGATCCGTTCATACGGAGCTATTTTTTGGCGCTACGAAAAGGTGTCGCGAATATGTTCATATGGGCAAATTCGTGGTGCGACAAGAAACATTGCGGATGCGTTCAGAGGGATAAATTCGTGGCTTGACAAAGACGCGCTGCGAATTCGCCCATCTGAACATATTCACGACACCTTTTTGTAGCGCCAGAAAATAGCTCCGTATGAACGAGTCGGTGCTTTCAATTGTGGCACTACAAAGTCGCTCGTCTGTACGAGTTCTTATGGTATATTGCATAGGTATGTGCGATATGTTGCGATTGATTGATCGTATCATAATGGATATACCAAACATTGCGGATGCGTGTTATCTATCTAATTTGTTGTCCTAATTTCGTATATGTCTCGATAAATATAATCGCATTTATAATTATTTTATGAGCATTATATGTAATGTGCAGTAAAAGATGACTAGACTGGTATACAAACAACATACAGCCAGTGAAATAATCTTGATTATCTAAAATTATAATTAGAATTACACAGAAAATTTTGTATACTTGATAAGTCATTGATGGCAGAAATGCGCAATGATCTGATTATATTTCATCTTAACAATTACGTATGTAATTCGTAAATCCGATAATAGCAAACTAATAAAAAGAATGATTATTGTGTAGAGCGCAATTTTAGAAAAAATTGAAGCAAGGACAATGATCAGAAATAAATCTTACGCAATTAGTAATAAAAACTAGGCCAGTTCAGAGTAAAGAGTCACAAGATTAATGTCGTGTATACTTCTCAGGTACTGTATTATGAAAAGAGTATGCAAATTGATTTCAAATGTTAAACTAAAGAGACCTTCACGAAAAACCCCTTTAGTTTAACATTTTCACCAAACATTTTATAGAATCGTATTGGTGAAAGGATTTTATGTAGAGATGATCAGGAAGGCCAACGATGACTTGGAACATAGGGTTATGTCGCCCTTTCGGATGAATGTTTCATTCTTTTTGACGATTCCACTTATCGATTCTTTAATTTTGTGAATTTCGCAGTGCGTTTTCTCAATCATTCAAATAATATTCAAATAAAATCCTTTTATAAGTATTATTCTATGACCTAGTAAAACGTTTGATGAAAGTTTCATAAAAATCTATTTAGTTTAACATTATGAATCGACCTTTGCATACTCTTTTCTCAGTTTTCTTATGTGCCATATGATGATGTAGTGTTTTTAATTAAATAAGATAATTTATAAGTTTTATTTTACCTATATATATATATATATAAACATATGTATATACTTCATAATATTACGTAAAAAGATAACTGATGATTATTCGTCATGATTCTTTGAGTGAGATCATAATTATATTTACTACTTGTTATTTTGTTGTTTATTACAAATGATAAATTAATCTAGAGATTAATTGACTATAAAAATTGTTATAATAATTGTGTTTTTTCGTTGTACATTCTACATTTGTAAAATAAATGATATTTCATTAAAAAAAAATTTTTTTTTCTTTATTCTATTAAGGTAAAAGTACCAATGACTGGCCACGTCCCATTATCTAGCCAGTGACAGAAGTTTTATTTTTTATTAAGCTGTATACATAAAGTAAGAAAAATATTTTTACTAATTTACATTATTTAATTATTCAGTTTCTTATATTAAAAATTTTACAATTAAACTTTTTGTTTAAAATATTTAAAAAATTATTTGAATTATCGTAGTCAAATGCACTATAAGTTTTTTCGGATTCCTTAAGATATTGCTAAAAAAAGTGTAATACTTGTTAAGATAATAACAATTATAATATTACATATTATATATTATATGTTTTTCTGCATAAATTAAGTATCTATAAAATCGTAAGAATATTTATAGTAAATAAAAAACAAATAATTATACATTTAAATTGTCTTTTAAATAAAAATTTACGTGGCTATGAATCGATACGTGATAACCTTGCTTGCCCGATAACTAACAGATCATCCAATTATTGGGCAAATCGCCATTTGACATGTTCATGTTTTGTACGAGTATGTCCAAATACATAGCCGTAACGTGCTCGAGTGCTGTTCGTGTTGTTTTCTGCATGAAACTTTTAAGTAAGTAATATATTACAAACATTATTACGATATTATAGATTGTATATTTTTATTCAGCTTTATGTATTCCTTTCATTTATTTTTATTGACATGTAGTATACATAATCTCAAATTTTTAATTATTATACATTTGAACTTATTTTTTACATTACTTATTAGCAATATTTTATTAGGTTATATAAAAATACATTTTTTACTCTCTAAACCTGAATCAGTGGATAATCACTGATTTTTTTATTAGTGCCAAGTATGCCATTGGGTAATCATTGGATGACTATCCACTGGTTCAGATTTAGAGAAAAAATTTATCATGCATAAACGTACATAAATATCGAATGATGCATTAAAAGACATAAAAAAGGGGATGGGATGTCTACACGAAAAGCTGATGCATTCCAAGTACCAAGAAGTACTTTGTACGTCAAGCATAAAAAAATAATTTAAGCATCTTTATTCAATATTTTCATATTTATTATACTTTTTCAAAATATATTTTTTATTAATTTATATTTCTTACTTTTGTTTTGCAAAATATAATTTCTTTCATTAAAATTATTTTTAATACAAAAGTTAATATAAAAATTGTGGTCAATTATTAGGACCTCAAAAATTAAACGCTGGACGGTCATTTTGGAACCGGTCATGTATTGGGACATTGGGTCTATTATTATTTCTGCTTATAATTAATTTAATATTGCAAAAATATTGTTTTTTTTATACTTATTTGATAAAAAAAAAGTAGTATCTTTCGATATGGTAAAAGTTTTTTTATTATAAAATGGATTATGTATATTAGATTTTAATAAGATTTTCTTGGTATGCTTAACCGGTCAGTTATTGGTATTTTTACCTTATAATTTTATTTTTTTTATTCTTTCGAACGTCACACTCACATGTTTCGTATAAATTATAAAACGATAAATGTAGACGATAAATATATGCAGTGATCGTATAATGTAAGAGTTCATAGATAATTTCCCGACAGAATTAAATTCTTTCAACGGAAGACGTGATTGTTATTCTAATGCTATTTCTTTACAATTTACTTTCATGACGTAACTGCATTACCTAAAGAGACATCTTTGAAAGTGTTTTTCTTCTTTACAGTTTTTTCTTTACAGTTCTTATGTAACTATTGCAATATACTACTTTTCAATAGCGTGACAGTAACTTTCGTATCAATTCATAAACAAATTTAGATTTAATGTATATTTCGCAAGAGTTTGATTGGAAGCTATTTCATTTAAGGGGATGCTGGAGTGACCGCTGAACTTGATCGATGTCGATACTACAGATTTTTTAAATTTCAAATAAAAAAAGTCGATAATAGTCATTAGTTCATTTCTTATATTAATCGTTCTGTCTCATTCAAACGCATACATCTGTCCTTATCTAACATATTGCAACGCTATCTCTTGCAAGATCGAACACCTGCTAGATACAATTATTGTTTTATTTACCATTCCGAATCTTCGCTCAGCGTTCGTATACACGTCATTTGCGGATCGATATAAATCTTTCTTTTAATTCTTAGTTTCATAAACTCAGTATTGTTTGTACACGTGGAGTGCTAGATGCTGAACTGTTGTTTTGTCCATACAAGCTATAAAACTTTTGTTTAAAGAAACATCTACATCAGGTGACAGCCGAATTAAAAAAATGAAAAGTTTTTAACTTTTTTTTCGATTTTATAGTAGTAAAGTCCACTGCAACACCTTCCAATTTTACATCTACTTAATCCTGTAAAAGAATTTTTGATTCCGTTCAGTAAATTCGGAGATTTATATCAATCTGTAATATCCCGACAATTTGATCACTCCAACATCCCCTTAACCGATCCATAATTTTTGATGAAATGGCGATTATAAAACTATTATAAAACTATGAAATGGCGATTATAAAACTTATGAAACTATTTCATCAAACGATGTATGATGAATTATCGCAATGTTAGTCACGTATGTCAATAACGTAACAATAGTAAGCATTACAATAATCTGACGAGACGGCCTATTACATGCTCTGAATTTTAAATAAGAAGCGTGTAATGCATGGCGAATAATTACACCAACGCATTTGACGTATTAAAGTTTCCTAATGTCCATATATCTATCAAGGTGTACACGATATATTGATATTACAAAAAAATTATATTGATTTCATTTCAGAGAAAAAAATTAAGTATATTTCATTCATTCTTAAAGTACGTTTAATTTAAGATTACATTGTCGTCGTAATAAAATGTTTATAAGAGACATAACATCGAAAAATTAATTAAATACTAATAATGACATTTTATTTTTGCAAAGTTTCAATAAAAATGTTTAAAAAAATTATTTATAATATTAGAAATTATTAATACATTATACAACTGTAAGAATTTCATAGTTGCTACAGAGGACAGAAAGCAGATAAGTAAAAATCAATCAAAATTGTAATTTATTATTTTATGTTGTCATCATTAATTTATTGGCAAATATATATCGAAATAATACTATTTAAAACTTTATGGTACAAAAATAAAATATATAAAAGACTTTCACAGACCATTTCCTATTCACACACAAGCATATTTTCATCAGTGTGATATAAAACGATACAGAAGTTTTTAAAATGTTGTAACTATTTGAAA